CTTATCAGAGCATCAGCACATGTTTTCTAGTGTGAACTGTCAGTGGTGCTCCTTTCACTGCAGGAATGTTTCTTAAAGCCTCATAGGCTATGAGTGACTGAACATATTTCCGTTTTCAACATGAACTTTTTGTAGCAATTGTTTTTAAAAAATTAAGACAAGACTTGTCGTGGCTCAGCTGTAGCTTTTGTTGCTCCTCAGGTTAACAAAAGAATGATCCTTTACCTGTGTATTTTTTTGTCAACTTCAATTCCCATTTTAATCATATGGGTTATAAATAGATCAGAACATTATTTTGCATTTAATATCAGGAACTGGAAATGTTGGGTTCTCTTTTTGAGGTTTTTAGATGAGATTTGTCAGAAATTGATAAAGGAATGTAATGTTGACAAAAAGGATTCTAAATCTAACTTAAGGGTCATATTTCATAAGGGGCCAGCAGTGACAGCCAAGGGAAATATTTTATCTTCATCTCCATGTTGAAATGGTTCCTCTGTTTCAGGGGAACTCTTGAAACAGAAAATGGCTACAGAAGCAGGTGAAAGATGGTGTTTGCTCTGTGAAGAATAAGATAAAGTAAACATTCTTCATCATTTGCTGGTGTTTGTTTTCTCCCTTTAACAACATTGTCCTCATGGTTAATTTAGCAATGTACAGATTATGCTAAAATAAATGGCCTACCTTTGCTGCAGGATCTTAGTTCTACATCTATGTCAAGTATAGTCATGATGCAGTCCAGGGGCAGGCTGTTGAAATAATTATTTTTAAAAATGAAGATACTTTAATCTCTCTGTGTTCCAGAGGCAGGTTAAATATATACTCTTTATACTTATTTGTGTTGGGTGAAAGACTTGATGTGCTTTATTTCTGGACTATGGTAACTGCCTGAGTTGGTTTCGGTCACCTCTTTATATTGCAGCTCTTGGCCATTCCCTGTTGAAGATCTCGTGGCTTGCCCCTCAAGTTACACATATTCATTCTCTCAGTTGATTTTATTCTTCCAAATCTTATGCATGTTCTGATCTTGTCCTCCAAAATGTTAGTATTTCCTATTTGTATGTTCATTTGTATGTTGTGATGGCCAATCCACTGATTAGGTTTTCAGAAAAAAGGTCTGATAAACTCTCAGTTGTTCAACCTTCCTATCTATAAATAACCCTTTGTTGTTACTTAGCCAGATATTTTACTAATGACCATCTTTTCACCTTCCACTAATAAATTAAGCAGGCACTATATCAGGTGCTGACCACCAGATAAATGAGAGAGAGAAATTTTCTAGGCAAATGAAGTGCAGGATATTGTGTTAACAGAAATCATAAACCATAAATTTAGTCTAATATCTGTGGCAGAGCTATACTGTCATCATCTTGTGTTCTGCTGTATTTGAAACTTGTTTGAAGCAGCTTGTATGCTACTGACCGAAGACTGTCATACTGGTTTGTTTTCCAGCTGAGGTTTTGGTATTTTTCTTACAAACAAATTCTACATTTGCTGTTCTCAAATAGTAGCAGTAAGTATTTGGTCATTTCAAATGACCTGTTAATCTCTGTAATTAAAAATAGAGATTTGCCATTTGCTTCCACATCAGCTGAGAGGACTTTTTATAAGCTGATTTGTCGTTACTCATCTGTGGTCATGTATCTATCTTGTCTTTGTTCCAAGGGGTTGTGCTGCTGACGTGCATTAACGTTGAAGTGAGAAGTTCAGCCTGTATCCATCTCTAGCTGTAGTCACTGTTCTGCTTGTAATCACTCCCCACCCTTTTACACATCCAAATCTTCAGTCTCTGATTTCATTTCCTATGGTTTATCAGTGGTCTCCTTTTGAAATTGGCAGTCCAGTTCTAGAGCCCTAATGTTTAGAGTCATGTTTTACACAAAACTCTGACCACAAATACTCAACACTTAATAAGACCAATTCATCTAAAGTTGGTTGTTATGTATAAAAAATCAAGTGTAAAATCCGGAGTATTGCCCTTATGCACAGCAAATTTGTTCAGAGACTGACTATATGACTGTTCCTCAGCATTCATAAGCAGATGGACCTTATGCCAATCTTTTCCATATATACTTTCACCTTAATGCACACTAAGTCCTATTTCGTTTTCCCTTCTTCTGTTTCCTGAAACTGGTCAAAAATTATGAAAAGTTGAGGTATCTTGATATTAAGATTCCCTGCTCATCTCAAATATAACTTTATTTGTTCATTGCATTTTTTTTTTCTTTGTCTGTGCCTCAGCTTTTTTGGGGTTCTCCAGCAGTGTAAGAAGCAATAATATTTTTCTGAGAAGAAGAAAAACTCTTTTTGTCTTTATCATTAAAAGTGACCAAAATCTGTTGACTAACACTGGTCTCAGTTATGGGACCTGCAAGAGGACAAGTATTTCTGTAATCTACTAAAAACTCACCCATTTTCAAAACAGACTAAACCAACTCTGCACTAGAATATTAGTGTAAAATCCAAATTAAAACAAATGGGGCTTGTAGTTAACACATCAATTAATGATTAAGAATTCTTTTGCCTTTTCAGCCCTGTTTAATACTTATAGTGAATCTGGCTCTTTGCTAAGGCTAATCAAAGCAAATTGCCAATTTTTTTGCTTGTGTGCACACATATGCTCTCTCTTAATTGCTTGGGGCTTACTTGAAAAGACACAAGGAGGAAGAAAATTACTTGTTCCAGGTGAAACTCCTGTCCTTGTGTACAATGAAAGATATCTAAAAGAGGAATAATGATTATGTACTTTTTTTCTGCTGACATGAATGTTGGAAATAAGTTTTTTCATTTTGAAACTTCTGGCAGTTTTTGTCTTTGGTTTGTGTCTACCATTTGCTGCAGGTGGTATAAAAATAGGCAAATAGGAGATGGTAATATGCAAAGTACAGCAGCAAGAACTGCAGGGGAAAGACTGAAATTTCTGTTGAATTTTGTTTATGAATTTTAATGAAGCCTTGCTGAAAATGCAGTTCTTTGTCCAGTTCCCATTTAATCATCTGACGACTTTGATTAAGACGCAGTGCTGTGATCAGACCTAATGTGAATTTTGCTTTGAGAAGTTAAAAACCCCATCACTGTGTTCTATAGCTTCCTTAATACATGTGCCTTTATAATGTGTATTTTGGTATCCCAAAAATAGGATGGGTTTTGGTAGTTGAAGTAATTAGCAGGTAGAGCAGCAGACTCAGCAAAAAAAAGTGGAAGACTGCATAAACAGTCATGAAGTATTGAAGGATTTTTGTCTTTTTTAATAAACTGCCAACTCTTACTTTTAATGAAGATCGAACAATATTGTAGTTTTTCTACACATAGAATATTCCAGCATATTAACTAGTTCTGTGCTTTGCAGTCACATTCATTAAATGTTTCAGACCAACTTGATGTGTATTAGTTTGGACAAAGTGTATTCCCAGACCTTTGATTTTGAAAGTAAATTTAATACAAGGACAACAGCAAATCAATGAATAAGCATGTCTAGGATAAGAAGCACAAAACAAAATAATTATGTTCTACAGTTTAAACAAAATTCTAGCTTTGTATGTGAGTGTGAATTGCGAGAAGCTAATTTACTTATTTATTTTGCAGAAGCATAGTTGGTTAAGACTTTTAGATGGAATGTAATTAAAACTGGTATTTCAGAGTCTTCTGCTGGTTGCTGCACTTGCTCTGCTTCCTTTCATCTTACTCTGGGGAGAACTTTATGTATGTGTTCTATAGTGTATATATAATGGTTTAAGTTACATTGATGTATAATTTAAATTCATCATGTAGTTATACTGATGATCATCATGTAGAAATTTGAACCAGGTGCTGTTTTAGGATTGGCATGCTCTTTTATCAGCTCTGGATTTAGTCTAATAAACCTAAATGTAATAGGGAACCAGGACAAAATAGCTTATTCATTAATAAGCTGCTTTTAAACTTGAACATTTGAGAGCTTGAATGTACATTTAACCTCCTACACTTTGTGTGAGTCAGAAGTTTTTTACCATAATGTAATTTTTTTGCATGAAGTAATGATCTTCCCACTCTGTGATGGGGAAATTTATATTAACTTGAAGTCTGAGAGACGTGAATAAAATGTCCACCTACCTGCTGAGTCTAACCTATATTTTAGTTCTGGGTTATAACATAGATATGGGAACAGAAAGAGGCATTTATCAATAGTTTTGTAACCTTGCAGTTCCTTGACCTCTATTTCTCATGCTGCTGAATGCTACTATCAACTGTTATTAACAGACTGAAATGCAAAGGAATTTTAAGGCTGAAATATATAAAAAGAAGTAATTTTTCTACTTAGATTTCAGTAATGCACCATAAAGTCCAGCAATTTAAAGGCTGCAGGTTGGCTTGGCTATGAAAAAAAGCAGAAGAAAAAATTTAGCAGAAGTAAAATTCAGCTTTTAAGAAATTTTACACTGCGTGATTCACCCCTCTTTGTTCTTGAATATTACTTGAACATCATCCATGGTTTGATGTTAGATGTGCAGTATATGTCATACATTGTATAGGTAATTTTTTTCCCCAAGGATTTAGTGAATCATGAGGTTGGGAGGCAGCACATAAAATATTCGCTGGGCTACGATATTGAACTTCCTGCCATTCGGTGTCATCAGATTTTCCATGTGCATTGATTAAATCAAAAAGAGATGACCTGTTTCCACTTCAGAAAAGTCTTAAAATATTTTAGCAGTGAAGCAGCAGTCATTCACCAGCAGCTGTCTATCTGCAAGCTGAAGATGTCATCAATAATGCAGAAGATAACATCTCCAAGTTGAAAGAACAGTAGGATTGGCATCAATTTTGCTTAATAGAGCATCATACACAAACTAGACAGTGATACCTGAAGCACTGACAGCATCCATTACCTTAAAATGTGCATGTCTCTTACTCGGAAGCATTATGTAAACTTGACAACATTTCTACTTTGTTTTTTTTTTTTCTTTCCCAAGTGTCTGATTTTAGTTGCACTGAGATTAATATGATTTTTCTACTGTTCTCAGAGGGTGATGAGACAGGAGTGATGGACAGCCTGCTGGAGGCCTTGCAGTCAGGAGCAGCGTTCAGAGATCGCAGGAAACGAACACCAAGACCACAAGGTAAGAGGATGCTTTCTGTAAATTTTTACTTCAAAACCAAGTGGGCCAAAGTGGCTTTGCAAAGGTTTATCAACAGTTTTCACTGAAACCCATTGGGCTGCTGTTGGGCATTGAGCTACCGTGAAAACTCAGCGTGCCCTTCGCGATCATGGATCGTTAACTTGTAGCTCTTTCTTCAGGCAACTCTGTGCTCTAAGATATGACAAGCGTTCCTCTTGTGATTGAGATGGAATTTAAATATTAGTGCACAAAGTATGTTTGTCTTAATTTTTCAGACCGTAAGTGTAATTAATTCATTGTAGGTTGTACCATGAAAAATATCAGCTTCTTAACAAATAGAATTTTGGGTGTTTAGTTGATCATCATTTTCAAGGACTGGTCTTAGATATGTTCTGGTTTGGTAAGAAGTAACAGTATTTTTAGTCTTAAAAATAAAATTACATTAAGATGGCTTCACTTCCCTGTGGAAGACAATTGTATTGTACTGTATTTAGTCTGGTTTCCTGAGCAATTGCTTCTTCCTGCAAAGTTGATTCTGAGAAAATCTGAGAGGAAGTTAAGCAATGGCAGAATTTCCTCTGTTCACTTCTCTGCTTATGATATGCCAGTGACACACAGTTTGTGAAATGCATTTAGTCTGCATTTACTTTTCACCAAAGCTTGTGGTAGTATACTGTCTTTTGCAATTTTTCTTTTAAAATATGTCTTATAGAAAAAAAAAAAAGTCTTAAAAATCTACAGTTGAAGTTATTTGGCATAAAATCAAAAGCTTGTGTTGAATATGTGCTTCTAAAGGTTTAGCAAAATGGAGTCATCTTATAAGTAAGCTGTGTTTATCCACCTAATCCTGAGTGAGCTGGGGTTAGATTCCTGTTGCCTGATGATTATTTTTTTAGAGGAACACAAGAGTAAAGGCAAATTTTACTACCCTCTTTAGCTAGCCAAGATAGTACGTAATTATTTTTAATTTGCCATATGCATGATCTTATGAGAAAAATAAAAATAAACCACTTAATTTGTTCATACTAAGAAGTGAATTCCGCTTCAGTTCCAATGTTACTCTTAATTCAGAGCTTGTTTCTGCTCTCAGACCAGACATGAAAGAACTCCTCGATCAAAATGTGGTTTTTTCCATATCTTGAGAAATATCATTGTGAGAGATGGTTTATCTGTACTAGGACATGAGGAGAGATTTGTCACCAAGTGGTGACAAAGAAAAGCTTCCCAGGGACCAGAGGAGATTGCTCAAAATCTGCTGCAGCTGAGAAAACCAAGAAGATGATTGAACCTGGGTCCAAAACCAGTGACTCCTGCAAGAATAGGGGACAGAGCTAATTAAAAATCCCTTTCATTGCCCTTCTGGTTTACGTAGTCACTTTGACTTCTGTGTTTGGAATTTCATTGTGTCAGTTGATATAGTAGTGGGGTCTGGGTTTTAATTTAAAGCAGCTGATTGACTTTGGAGAACTTAGTGTGAGAGAAGGATGAGGTCATCCATTTCCCGGCTCTGGTCACCTGTAAGTCTCCTCTAAGTGAAGAAGACCATTATGTAAAATATTTGGGGGAAGCTTAAAATTTAGCAAAGAGGAAAGAAATGTGAGTCCCAGCCAAGTATCTGATTTCAAGTTTTATGTAAATCTTTTCATGTGCTTTAGGCACATACATGACATCTAATGAGTAATTTGTTTACACACCAGAAGATGTTTGAAAATGTGGCTGTGACATTTCTAGGCAGTGAGCTATACCATTAAACAGCATTTTTACAAACTTCCACATCTCTCCTTCCAAAATGGAAGGGTCAATGGCAGTTTCCTCACTGTGCCATCTAGTAGAGTCTGAGTATTCAGCAGAGTTTCATCCAGTGAGATTTTAGTAAACAGTTCACTCCAAGCCTCCTTTGGTTCAACAGAAGGAAGAAAAAGTAAATAAAAGCCATGGAAAGAAGAGTTTGGGGGATTTCTGGGCTTGCTGGGTCACATGGTTCCAAATGGTATGGTATAATTACTGTCTGTAAGTAGTGCACAATGTAGGAGTTTTCTGTAAGTTATTCAGAGCTTTCTGCATCCCCTCTGTGATCAACCTGAATTCAGAGCACACATGGGGAGGAAAAAATGAGAAAAGAAAGGTGCTGCTGTTTCCAAAGTTACACTTGTCCAGTAAAGTTTTGAGCTCGAACTTGTCTTGGTTTAGCCATCATGGCCTCACAAGAAAAACTGTTGTTTTCTGCCTGTTTGGACACAGATCTCATTTTTCTGTGTCAGCTGTGACTGATACTTTAATTAGGATCAAAAACAACTTCTGCTTGCTTACTTTGGAAGTTTTGTTAATTACTTGGTAACAGGTGGCCCCCACAGAAAGACAAAAAAAAACCCCAAACAAACAAACCCCAAAACATTAAAAAAACCCACCACAAACAAGAAAATGACCCCCAAAAATGAAAATTTGGCTTTTGTTGTATTTTCTTCCAGTGTTTTCACAAAGTAGATTTCAAGGAGCAAACTGTAGTATCACTACTAGTGGCATTTTTGATCAGTTTGGCTCAAAATTAATGACCCTCCAGAAAAAAACCCTGTGCAATGGCACATTCCCTGATATCTTTATGTGAGTGGGTTGGACTTAGGAGGGTTCAATTAATTTGAATAACAGAGCTTCAGGTGCTATAGACTGACAGCTAGCCCAGAAGAGTGTCATTCTGCCAGACACCTGCTCAATTAGCCTGTTTTGCAGAGGTCACTGCTGGACCTTGTAGAATATATTTGTGCCATGTCTTTAAAATATTTAAAGATTCAGACACTGACTGGGTAAGTGGCAGAGACAGGGAGTGGTTCTCCATTTATGTAGAAATGGCCACACTGCACAAGGGGGGACTACTCAGTAGTATGTTTTTTCTGCTGGAAAAAAAAAATATGGGGAGTTTTGAAAATAAATCTCCTTTGAAATACGTTGAACTGCATTATGTTTGTTTACTAAGCCTGTAAGTAAATGAAAATCTATACTTTAATGTGTTGTATTACAACCATGGACTTTTCCAGTAAAAGTTGTTTTGTTATCAGGTCATGGAAGTAAAAATTAAAAAAATTCCTGTCCCCCTCCTCTAGTTTCTCATTTCATTATATTCCTGTGCATTCTTTCTCATGTAGATTTTTCAGTGTGCTAAAAGTTTGTATGGTTTTTCTCTCCTAAGCTTATTCCTGTGTCTTTACGGTTTCTAGCTACTGGCTTTTAAGTAGAGAGATTGTCCTTTCAGTAAATTGCTTTGCTTGTAGAGGCTCTACAAAAATAATTAGAAATAAGTTTCTAGAAATATTTCTTCCTCTTCCAAAAATATACTTTTGTTCTGCAAGTTGGCCAATATTGGCATAATAAAGAACAGTATTAGGTGGCATTTATCACAGGGTACCTCTTTAAAATGTGCATCCAGCATTACTTTTGCAAAATTATCCTTGCCCTTTTTTGTGGCCTTGGGATATGAAATTATTAAAAGAAGACCAATTCAGGAATATTTTCTCTCTAAATTAGTTTAAACAAATTTCTGCATGGAGTTAACTGTTCTGTTAGGGTTCTTTCTGTTAAGCTTCTAAGTTTTTTGCTGAGGAATTTAATTTCTTTAAGAAATGTTAATAACTAGTGCCCTCTCCTATATATCCAAACTATCACAACCACACTGATATCATGTGCCATGATTTCTGCAGGTTGTCACTACTGGAAATACTTTTAAAAAGTAGGTACATATTACAATCAAGTTCATTAGAATTCTAATAAAAAGGTTATATTTTCATAGACAGAGCTATTCTTAAAATGAAGGCTGCCTTTCTCATCTACCTTGCTAAACTAATTTTACCTTTGCATTGATTATATTAAATAAAATCTTTGGAGTTAGTTAGGCTTCTGAGTGCACAATCCGTATTTTCTAAACCACATTCAAATAAACATGTTGAAAGAGTATCTGCTTTACTGAAAGCATTATGAGTCATTTTGTGACAGTTGTGTAAATAAGCTGATTTTTCCCATTACCTCTGAATTGTTGAGAAGATTATCAATGTTAAAATGCAAAAATGTTGTAGGCGCACTTGATTTGTGCTCGACTAAAATGGTGTGTGAGTGGCCTTGTTTGCTGTATTTCACATTAACAGTGTCATCACCTTTAGCATTAAGTCTCTGTTATGAGGCTGGAAATATCCATAATGGTCTATAAAAATGGTGGCCTCAGGTTTAAAAATCAGTGTGTATGTTAAATTATTTCTTCAACTTTTCAAATATTTTTGCTTTGAGAAGCTGAGTGTTTAAAAGCATGTTTGTTGCTTCAGTTGTGTAGTGGAGGGGTTTTGCTTACAGTCAAGTATTGTGGACTAATGAGACTTACAGACGTGATCCAAGTGCTTCAAAATTACCACATCTCTAATAGCAAGAGCTAAACAAGGATCACCAATAATAAACTTACTCATTTTGCCATCCCAGCATTATTGTGAGATTTAAGTTTGCTTTTATTTCTAAATATAAATATGGGTACCATTCAAATCAAGTCTCAGCAAATTATCTTGGTCCGGAGAGCTCCATAAACAGTCCCAAAGCTATTTAAAAACAGGTATTTGTGGTATAATCTATTTTTACTGTGTATGCATTTTGGCTTATGGTTTTTATAATTAAAGGAGTAGTGTTAGGTAATATATTTTTGGTAGCTTAACATGAAAGAAACAGCTGTAGAATGTGGAGGCTTTACTTGACTCTGGAAGGTGTCCCTCCCCATGACAGGGGGATTGGAACTAGATGATTTTTAAGGTCTCTTTCAACCCAAACCCTTCTATGATTCTATGACATTTCAGAGGAATTCTCCTTCATCCTGCTTATAAGTAGAAGTGGTAAAAAAAGGGACTAAGACTTGAGCCACCAGTCTGCTCAGACTGGATTCTCCAGGTTTTTAGATAGATAATACCTTTGAGCATGCAAGGAATGAAGAGGCTCTGGAAACCCCTCATTAGCCAATAACTGGATGAACATAA